AAATGGTCAAGGTCCGTTACATTGAGTTCTACAGTGTGTCTCAAAAAAATGTTACACTTACAAAAACTTCACTCTCTTTCATGATTTTGACTTTTCCCCTAAAATATACTTAGATACCACAAGACGAGTCTTTCTCGAATAAATCCACACCATCAGATTGAAAATCCGTCCAGATTTTCAGGACAGATTTTATAGATGCATGTGAAATCTGATTTGCGCCAACTCCTCAGTGGTTGGACATGTGGTGATCAATTCTGTTTTTTGGTGTGAATGCTGTGGACAGTGATATCTTGATATGATCAATGATCCAGTGGTTTCTTTCCTGGATAGAAGTACAAGATTTCATTGTCAGAGTGTTCAATTTTGTTACGTATGATGGCAACAGGATGGTGCAAAGCCCTGTTATGTTATGTTATGTTATATTTATTTTCATATTATAATTATTACAATTTGAATAGCAAGGTTTGCACAAGACGCTGGGCGTATACTGTGCAGTTTACACCACATTACATATTACATTGTAGTGTATATATAGCAAGAGCACATTCTTTGATGATAAGGATCACTTAAGGTTAGCAATGAAACATGAACAAAATGAACCATGACATGATATTTGATATTAGATGTAGGTGGAGAGGAGAAGTGATTTCAAAGACGATTTTAAACAAAGAGAAAGTAGAAGACATAATGATGTTTTCATTTACTCCATTCCAAACTCTTGATAGTTCTACTTTTATTGACTTTTCACCAAATTTGTTTTTAAACATATATGAACGTATACGGTCTTTATTTCTAGTTTCATGGTCATGTGTATCAACATTTGTGGAATAGAATTGATTAAAAAGGTGATATGGGAACTTGTCAGGTTTATTCATATTTTGGTATGCAAAGTTGGCAACATTGAAGTTAAATATGTCATAAATATTTAAGATTCTAAGATCTTTCAATAAAGGGGCAGCATGAGCTAACTTACTAGAATTTGTTATTAACCTGGCAAATTTCTTCTGGAGTATATGCAGAGGCTTGGGGAGTTTTTTATCAGCATTACCCCAAATTATATTACAGTAATCAAGCCCCGAATGAATAAGAGCATTATAAATTTTCATTTTCGAACAGTTGTCAAGTAAGTGCTTAGAAGTATATAATATGTGTATATTTTTAGCTATTTTCCCTTTTAGTTTTTGAGTGTGAAGTTTCCAATTTAGTTTGTCATCGATTAGGACACCAAGAAAATTAATGTTATCCTTCCTTGTAATATTTTTGTCATCAATTTTTATCTTGATTTCTTCAGGGTTGTATGTTCCTCTTTTAGGTGAAAGGAATAAAAAATTAGTCTTTTCAATATTAAGTGATAACTTGTTAGCCATGAACCAGTCATTGACTTTTTTAAGTTCAGTGGACCTTAAGTTCATGTTTCATTGTAAAATAAGCATGGAATGAGAGTGAGAACACATTAAGAATAGCTACAGTTGTATATGTTTCATAAATGATCCTTATTTGGTGATTGTTATCAGCATATCGTTTTGAAGTGGTGTCTTTAAATGAAGTGATTATAATTGGCAAACATACTATTATCTTTGATTTAATTAGTCTTGTGGCAGATCGTTTGGTAGAACTCTTTGGAAATCAGAAGATACCATTGAATTACCCAATGGATTGGCCCATGGTCATACCACTCTACACCCTTGATTTTTTGAAGGGCCTCTGAAAGTGATTTACAGCATCAAAAACTGATCTAAATGAACTTCTGCAAAAATAATTGATGGAATCAGTGTGATATTACAATGCATGTGCGCATGGGCAAGGGTACCTCAGATTTGCTTTGGAGAACATGTTGAGGGGACCGCGAGCCTATATTAATTTTTCCCCACGTTAACTTTTGTCCAACCCAGCTAAATCTCTTCAGGAAACCCTTATTGTCATAAATTGAGCAAAAAATGTAGTGTTTTTAACAATTCATAGGTTCACTATAGGATGCATAGGAGTGACAAATGGACTATTTTAGAAAATTAGATAAAGGAACGTGTACCTGTTTTGAGTAAAAATACTTTAATTGGGATTTAGACTAGGATAACAATTAGAAGCCTTCGTCAAAATATGTTAAAAATTTATTAATGGAAAAAAGATTAATCATAATAGACTTCAGATGAACTTTGTGCAGGAACATGATTGGCATTGTCATTGTGTGCTGGTTCATTTTCTCTGGGAATAAGCAGCTTTTTAATTAAAAAATATATTGTTCGAAAATCTTGAAATTTCAGTGTAAAACTGACCTACACCGTCGCATTGACCAAAAAATTAGGCGATGACATCCCACAGTCCCATGATATTGGTAATTGAAACCTTTGCATCATTGCTCATATAATATCTTACATACCCGAGATATATCTTGAGAATGTATTGAGGGCACAGTATCACCGATATATTGAGAAAATCAACAGAACAACCAACTGTCGGATAAAACACAAGTCCATATCAACATACAACTGTTTAATCTACATTATGAAACCCTTGAAAGAAAGAAATATAACTAAGTGTTATATGGAAAGATAACCAGAAATGTGTTGTGGTTCAAAAATAAAAATAATAAATTTCAGTTTCATTTATACTTTATTACGAGCCAGTAGAAAAGTAATATCTGTGAACAATCATCAAATTGGACACGTTACAAATGAGTTGAGGCCTCAAAGTTGGTAAATAGATAGACCAACTTCTTTTAGAGCCAAAACATCAGGGGGTTCTCTAGTTGTGCTTTTATCAGACATTGCACCTTTAAAATGTTTTAAGTCAGAAAATGTTGCAATTAAAGTTGTGTGAATTTCAGCTTCTCATGTTTTATTTTCAGGTTTTCTCTTTTTGCTCTATAAATTTTGCAAAAGTACGGACATAATTATTTGATGATGATCTATTTCTACCTGCATACTTATATCCATTGGTCCAGGTGATAACTCAACCCCTCACCCCCTATGGGGGTAGAATTTTCAAAATGGCACTTTAGTGCCAATTTTACAGTTATTTAGGTACAGCATATAAAACTGTAATAGCAATATGTTTTAAATGTAAAAAAGTTATATAGGACATTAATATTTAAGAAACACATGCATTTCAACTTGAACATATGGGATGTACAAAATGCTAAAGGTATCTGTAACCTTCTGTATAGAATGTTGTCCCAGGTACTGTGATGTCACCATAGCAGCCATAACTCTGAGTTTCGTAATTTTCTTAAAAACTAGCTCTAGTATTATTACTGTATATATGTAAAAATTTGATGATTGAAATGGTGCATAAAAAAATGCCAGCACCAGTCCTGTTACTTACTTACTCAAAAGAACCAAATAAGTACTATAGAAAGATGGGAGTTCTTAGACATATAGAGGTGTGAGATATGTTGCAGTGAAGTAGATAACACTTTGTATTAGGGTTGTTGTGAAAAGTGGTCATTTTTCAGACGTTTTCCACATTAATAGCTTCAGGAATTATTCTTGAGATACAGACACGATATGGCCTGAATGTGTACAATTTTATAAGCTATCCTCCTCAACAGAACATCAAACAGAACATTTGGTACTGGTGTACTACATGTATTTGTGATATGCTCTGTAAATATTCATTACACTTAGTATTCATATAATAATGTATTATATACGCTATACTTCAGAGATGTAAAAATGTCCATAATTAACAAGTTATGGAATCTCAAAACTATTTTATATTGAAGATGCAGCAGTTATTATCATGGAATTGTTCCCAAGAAAGCATTGATACATTTTTACAATGAGCACATTTGAAAATATATTAATGCTATTTCTGGAACTACATATTTATGGATGTTTTGGCCCAAATTGTATATGTTTCAAGTGAACCAGAGATGTTATACAGAAAGGTAAAATTAGATATAAAGAGGGCAACTGTCCCAAACATTCAATATCATTATTGACCTTATTTGAGATCTTAAATATTTTGAATTGTCAAATTCACAGGTATTGATTGCAATTTTGTCACTCTTATACCTAAGATTCCTTAAAAAAGAGAAGCATACATTTAATAGATATTTAAGATAAAACTTCATATGTATATGTACAGTGATAAATATAGAGCTAGCAATCCCCAATCAACTTAAACTGTTAAATATACTAGAATTTGCTGAATTGCTCAATTTAACATGAGCTTTAAAAAATCTAGCACACTCTATTGAACATTTGCCATAATTTGCAAAGCGTATGTAGGAAGTGTATAATGGTAGCAAATCCTTTATGATATAGTACAATAGTATGTGTTTGAAAATTTAGATTTATGATAAAGTCAGTTGTGTTACTCAAGTGCTGTTATTAATACATAATATATAAAAGCGGTCACATTTCAATTGTTATTAACTTATTAGCTTATAGCTATCCGCATTGACCACTGAATTGTGACTAAAACTGATATGCTCCTGGGAGCACTTTCTGCTCCATTTTTATTTTTTAATATTAAATGACCAAAAAATACAATTAAAAATATTAATTCACAAATATGTTGATTACACTGATTTGATGTGCCAAAATATTTGAGAAATTACATAAAAGGCATGTGTCAAAATGTTCCAATTTTAATTAAAGGCTTCATGTGAGAGGCCATATTTTAATTAAGGCACATGTGATATATATTTGAAATGCAATAAACACAATATCATGAATCACCTTATGGGAATTCATGTGCCTACTGATTCATACAAATGAATCACACAAGCATATATAGTACCCCACACAAGTTTTTGATAATATCCCTGACCTGTGATTTGAACAGCCTACCCTGTGCTATTTGTTATTAAAATTAGCACTTGTTAACTAGAGATGATTTCCAACATTTGAAATTTTTTATTGAGCCATATGTTTAAAAATGGTTAAATATAGTAATTTTAAAATGCTACACAGTGGTACACAGTGATGTATGGAAAATTTTCTAATTTTTAACATGGGAAATCCTCAGTTCAGCAAATCCACTCTCATTTATTTATGGCCCAATTTGTATGTATAACATTTTCTGTCTGACTTTTCTCATTGATTTTCTTACCATAAATTGTGTCTAAAAAAGCTGTTTATATCTAATCTACCAGTTTATACGACTGATATTGGTAGATTTTATTATTGATAATGTAGTGAATACATCACTTGACTCAGAATTTAACTCAGCATTTCATAGAAATTCTCTGAAAGTGTCTCAGCCAATGTATTTTTTCAATGGTTTATCCGAATTTGTACCATCGGACTATCTTCTTGATCTATAGGAAATGCTGAGTTCATATTGGAGTTTATTGCGTCATGTCCAAACTGATACAATCACTTCTTGCAAACACCTTATCAACACAAAATCACCGTGCATAGGCATACTGGACTTGAACTTCTTTGTATTTGTAGTCTTTAATCCTCTTAGCAAGGCAGCATGCAAACACTATGCCAAATATCTGGAGAAAAAGATCAAATTAAAGTTTTTTTAATGATATTCCAGGTAGACACTCATTAAATGGGCAATGTCTGCAGACAAGACTTTACAGACAAGATTAAGAACGAAAAATGCAAAATGTTCAATTTTACATTTACTGAGAATGCCCCAAAACTGATCAGGTCAAGATTTTTATACAAAGAGTCATCACTGAGGTGGGGACATAAAAAGTATTTTGTTTTTTTTAATGTAAGTTTTGTTAAAGATATTGGCGCTCACTAGTCTGCTCTTACAGCTGGACAAATTTCAAGTTGAGTGGATAAGTAATTTTCCTGGAATCTTGAGCACAAGTTCAGTTGTGGCCTGGCCCACCCAGCCAGTTCCTAATTGCAGATTAATATTTCTTACTTGTAAGAAGCATATCCCAATGCCCACTCCTCCTAAGATTATAAGATGTTCTTTAACATAGTTGGAAAGTGCCGTTAAACAACCCTGAAATACAAATACATGTATATTTAGTAGGTCCTTTACCTTTACTCATTTTTCAAAAATATATCAAATTGCCAAAGTATGTCAAATATAAACTATATGATGGATGAGTACAGCTCATATTCATTTAATACAATAGAATAATTCCCTATCATATGTGACTTACATTGTAATTGATATTGGAAGGGTGATCGCTCACTGCACAACCTTCTGATTCAGTCTTGCAGCAGGAATCAGGTGCTTTATTAATAGACTGTGTTGTATTTTTCTCTTTAGCCTCCTTTAACCAGCGACTATATCGCCAATCCTCAAATGACACTGCCCCACAACATGTAAACTGAAATGAAAACATAATCCCTCAATCCATTCTTACAGCATAGCAGTTCTTAAAATACCCACGGTCCTGAGCTCTGACAGTTTGGAACCTTCAGAGGAATGTACGAGGGGTGATCAATAAGTAATGGACGCTTTTTTTACACAGATACTTTTTATAGACCAATCCCTTTGATTTTCCTACCAGTGATACGTCATTCAATTATCTATCAATTCTGAAGATTTGAAGACAAAATATATAATATATGTTGATATATCCTTATTTCCGTGAAGGAGGTACAGGTACCCCGGGACCGACATTTACGTCACATATTCAGTTTTTAGCCAGTTTGGCAAATTTCAGTTAGATTTGAACTTTTTATATGCAACAAGTGTTGTGTTGTTTGAAATTTTTTGCTGACTGGTAACACATAAACAGAAAGTATTGTGATGCCAGAGTGTTGTATGGAAAGGGGTTTGCAGGTCAATTTGAGAAAGCATTGTGGAAGAAAGGGGTGGTGAGAGAAAGGAACACCCTACTCCATATGGACAATGCACCTGCCCACAGATCTCAAAATGTTCAGAAAACAATATCTCTGGACATCAAAATTGAGCCCTTGGCCAATGCACCATATTGTCCTGATCTGCACACATGTGACTTATTTATTTATATACTACTTAATTCTATAGAGAAAGGATGCAAGTTTATTGCCATTGATGAAATAAAATAATCCATGCAACTGCATCTTCTTGCTACCATGTCAGAGAATGGATTCAGCCTTGTCTCACAATCTTGAGTTTAGAGGATGAGGAATTGTGTACATGTAGCACTTGATATGTAGAGGGCCCTGTAGAATGAATGTGCCATGAATATACCACAAAGTGATGATAAAATATTCAAAATCAACTATGGCATAACAAAATGGGTAATTCATGACCATAATGGTTTGTTTTGTTCAGTCTGCATTCAACTATATTGCATGTTAAACAAGCTAAAATAGCTTCAGAATCTTTGACGTAAATGTCGGTCCCGGGGTACCTACACATCCTTCACGGAAATAAAGATATATCAAAATATATTACATGTTTTGTTTTCAAATCTTCAGAGTTGATAGATAATTGAATGATGTATCACTGGTAAGAAAATCGAAGGGATTGGTCTATAAAAAGCATCTGTGTAAAAAAGCGTCCATTACTTATTGATCACCCCTCGTATATGGTAATTTTGATTGCAAAAGATTTTTTTAAAAAGGCATGTCATCTTTTTTTTAAAAACAATAGTAGTTTTTGAAAAAATGGTTGATTTTGTGGTAAATTTTTAAATAAATGGTAGTTTTTGTGGTAGATTATGAAAAACGGTAGGTTCTGTGGGAGTGTTTACAGGAATGAAGGACCCACGGTCCTGTGCTCACAAGGTTTGTATACCCTGACTTTCAAACAAAAATATTGATTTGGATTTGAAGTCTCGAACTTTGAGAAACTTAGATAGCACAGTTGTGTGACCTAGTTTGATCACCTTTGACCTTGAAAATATTACTTATTCAGAGCTCAGTAAGGTCTTTTGTGATTAAGCTGATCAAAATTTACATTCAAAAATCAATTTGAAAAATCAACTTTTTTGACCTTTCGAAGGTCACTGAAGGTCAAGTAAAGGTCAAATCCTAAAACTAATGTCAGATTTGAACTCCTGGCAACTTGTAGATGATTTTCAAAAAATATTTGGTCAAATTGAAGCAAGTTGAAAAATAACTTATTTTTACTGTTTTTTGACATCAAATATCTCAAAAACAGTAAAAATTTGATGCTGACTTATATTGAGCAATATGTAGGGAATGCTTAAATCTAGTAATGATGTAATTCATTGCAAGAAATAATCAAGTATAAGGCAAACTTTGAGAGACTTGTCAATCACAAAACCTGCGATTTACTTTATATGAGTACATGAGGAAGTTTCCTGAAAATGACCCAAGTCCTACTTTTTGTCAAATTTTATAGAGTAAACACTAAAAACTGTAATTCCAAGAGCTTTGAAATCTTCAGAGGACAGCAACTACTACAAGTTATTTGAAAGTTCTACTTCAACAAAGTGTCTAGTATTTACGGAAAATTTGACTTTTTGACGTCAAAATCAGCAATTTCTCGGAAACCGAGCGAACTTGGGAAATGGCGAAGATAGGTCAAATAGGCATTATGGATATGCATAAAATGAATGTGGATATGACTCAATCCGAATAGCAGTTTTAATTTGTGCGGCCAATGTTGACGGACGGACGCCTGGTCGATCCCATAGGCTCACTGTGTGAGCCAAAAACGGAACAAGAGTTTTGTTATTTTTTAAGGAAATAGAAACAGGAGGTTGGCAGGTCTGTATTCTCTTTTCATACACACTCACTTCTCTTTGCAGTTTATCAATGGCTGCTGTTTTATCTGCATCAAAGTGATACCAGTTTATCATAGTGTTGTTCAAGTTTCTTTCTAGTTCTCCCTGAATCTAAAATATGAATCCATGGCAATATATATATATATTAAGTTTATCAGCACACTTAATTTTATAAATAAACATCAATATAATGGTTCATTGTATATGGTGCTTTGATAATCAAGTGAATATATCATGATATACTCAGGAAAGTATAAAATACCTCATTGTTAACATTTTTATCATTATTGTGCATTTTTATGGTGGAAATATTGCCTATGTTCCTACTATCACTTGGTGGGATAGGATAATCAAGGCAAAGCATGGTTTCAGCTACAATCATGCAGTGAGGCAAATGGAAAATGAGTGACATACAGTATACAGTAAAATATTTACTTACAGAGGTGTTATACATATATGCCAACACCCCAGCTACTGCCTCCATCAGGAAAACCAGGAACAACAGAGTGGCATACTGAAAGAATTATATCAAACTTTCACTTCTCCATTTTTTAACGCAACACATAATTTTGTCTCTAAATGGTGTTCAAGAATTTCCAACTACTTTTTAACAGTCAGTTGACCAGGAATAATGTCCTATTATACTAAATCAAACTTCAGATGCAACATTATGTTTTCCCAAAAATAAAGAAAAATGCAGTAGAAATACAAAACCTATAAGCATTCCAAGGGTTCACATTTTTTGGACCAGCCTTTAATTTGCCAAATGATAACCACTAAGTACACGGTCTCCGATACTACCCAACGTAAATCGTTCCGGACTTGTTTTTCATAACCATTTGGACTTGATTTATGGAAAAGAGTAGAGGTAGGTTTGTAAATTTGGTTATGGAATTGCTTTCACTTGACTTTATGTAAATATAATACAATTAGATAACTTACCATACTATATACCCTATCTTCAGGCACCCGCAAATGCCTTTTTTGTATTTCAGGATGCGAGCGATTCTGCCAGTGCTTTTACCTATTTTGCCTTATAATCACCAGCCTGCCTTGTATCCAATGAATACACCGATTCATAATGAAAGTAGCCACATTGTGAACGAAAATCATGATTTAAAATGGTTTAGATGAGTAGCAATTGCCGAAAGAATACTTTTTAGATTTAACCATTTGGACGTGACCTAAATATTCAAGTTAATGATGTTGACTTGTTATTGGAACGTTTCTGACTTGTGTTATTGAAACGTTTCTGACTTGTAAAACACAATGAAACATTTTTAAGTGTGGAACAGCTCCATAAACTTTATAGATTTCCAACAAATCATCAGAGTGGATGAGGACAGTGGAAGAAGTTGTCTGAGTGATACTATCTAAATTATCATCATTAATTAAACGTATTAAGAGATACTTGTCAAGGTTGAATTAGGGAATCATTACAGATACGTGTTCTTTACTTGATACTTTCAAGGGGCAAGAATGCATGTAGAGAGAAAAGTTGAATTTTTACTTTTTCTTGTGTTTTGCCTCTTCGCTATTTTAAAGACTTCACTCGTCGCTATTTTAAATTTGCCTATGAAAAATGTGAGCATAAGTTTGCCTCAAATAAGACTTTAAAACGCCCTTATTGGCTTTAAACTGACTTCCATGCTTATATTAATGCTGAGCAAGAAGTTTAGTGAAAGTTGAGAAGAAATAATCAGTTTTAATCGTTATTTACTGTTAAAATCTACTGGTTTGCCCCTAGATTATTAACAATTTGATTCATTATTATTAGTTATAATTTCATAATTTGCCTCACAGCATGCAGGTTTTTGCCTCGGATTCTTCTTTAGACTTTCCCTTTAACTTCCAATGCACTAAACACGTACAAAAAAGCTCAGCGTCACCTGTTTTAAATGGCCTAAACTATATAGATTTTGACTCGGGTTCTCGTGTTTTGACTCTTTTAAATACGAGAGGGTGTCGCCTAAGACAGGATTTGACAGGAACTTACAATAATAATTTTAGTCCGAAATGTATTTTGAAAAGAATATGCAATAACATCATCGATCGCCGAAATACGATCTATGCCCACACATACATGGATTCCATCATCTTTTTCATTTGGCACATGGCCTTGAACAGTACTAACGTTATTAGCTATAGCGAGTTTAATTACATCATATGGCTTCGAGCCTAATTTATCACACATCCGGAATCCATAATTCTGTGTTTTGTAACGCCATATGCCTTTATCACGAAAAGGGACGTCAAGCCTGAATAAGTCGGAGGGATGGTCCCTCTTGAAGTGTTCAAAGAATATATTTTTATCTGCACTTTTAAAAGTGCATTCGTGGCACTTGTTTCTGGGAACTGAAATTACAAAATGTGTGAATATTTGGTACAAAATTTCCTCTAAAACATAATCATACTAAGTGCAATTTTTCCAGAAGCATAGACAATTCATCAAGTAACGGAACGTATAAATACCATTACAAGACAATTTCCAATCATTATTTTTATCACGTGGTGTACAATTCGCAGTCGTTCACCTAGTGATTATAAGACAAGTCCGTGTCAGAATCAGGACCATTCGCCGTCGTTAACTCAACTTTTAACATTACTGTAATTTATGAAAATTTGAAGGTACAGATACTTAAAATATTAACACGATCTTTAATGTAGTGAATATTGTTCCACGTTATAAAATGATTTTTTGGTTTAAACATAGTTAAATAACACTAATGCACATTTAGAGCATATTTCTGGCATTTTTGTTATTTAATGCCGATAAATATGTACTATGATGGCACGATCGCCAAAATAGATATGTGGGTATGAAAAAGAATGTTTTAGGTAGAAGTTGGTATATGTATTTTTCTAAACGATTGAATTATATTACCTTTTTGAGCCATTCTGATGAATGTCTCATCTCATTCTCCTACGAAATGAGTCCAAATGGTTATGAAAAACAAGTCCGGAACAATTTACATTGGGTAGTATCAGAGACCGTGAAGTACATTCAAGTTAAGTTTTGAACAATTTATTTTATAATCTTTTTAAAAACAAGAGCAAAATAGGCATACAAGATAACTAATGAGGTCTAGATTTACATCAAAAATGAATGATGTTACCTCAAGGGTCAAGATGACAATCCCAAGTAACAGCTGTAAAATGAACTCAATCAAGATAGCTGCCTTGAAATTCAATGAATAATATCTCAAATTCAAAATGTAATGAGCCCTACATACCCAAATTATATTGGCACATAAATTGAAAATTGGCACTAGTCTGTTCTTGCATAAAAATGTAAGCAAATAACTTTTTCGTTTTAGGCTGATATAAAAAAAACAGTCTAAAACATAAATTACATAGAATATGAACAACTTTTAACAATTGAGCCATTTTGATTAATGAGCCATACTGATCGAGGCCAATTATGGAAGTTGATTTCAGTGATTGTCTCTCAAACAGCTAACTTACATATTCAGTCACCTTCAATCCAGAAGATTATTAAGTGACTGACTCAAATGCGAATCATGATAATTTGAATGTTCTATGAAAAGCTCTTCAATATGATTGTACTTACCACCATGAGACCTACACGGTTCTCTTTGAATGCTGCAAAACATCCCAATAAGGCAATGACAACAACGATAGCACCAACTGCTATGAGGATGTAGGTGGTGACAGAGAAGAGGCTTGTACTGAGAAGGCTCACATATGAACTCTTGGAGAGCAGGGTCCACACCCCTACACCTAACACACCTAGCCCAGATAGCTGAAAATACAGGCATATGTATATTTTCAAAAGATTTTCAGAAGTTTATATTATTATTCTTTTGATTTATTTGTGAATGAATTTATATGCCTTTTCAATTTGGAACTTCTTAAAGAATAACACTGATCAGACAGTGCATATATCAAAAATTAAATGCACTACAAAATCATTTTCCTGCATATATCAATAAACTAACACACTGAAATGCTCTAATTGGCCGAGACACACTTGGCATGTTTCAATGATTGTTTCAGAACCCATAGAAATCTACTGTAAATTTGCAAATATAAAATTACAAGAAAAAGTAGTATTTGAGTTATCAAATTTTTTTTTTATGAAAAATGGTGGCCATTTTGAAATTCAGCTGCCATCTTGAGCAGAGCTCCTTTATCTCTAGGCATCAGCATATAAAATTTGAACCAAATCCATCAAATAGTATTTGAATTAGGCCATAAGAAGTAGATTCTTTGTTTTGCGTCCCCCTTGCTTGCACGATTTTGAGTAAATCAGAAAAAAACAAACACATCCAAATAGCAATCACAAGGGTCTGAAAGTAACATCGTATTTCATTCAGTCTGAATCAGAAATAACTGACAGTTAGATGTTGGTCAAATACAGTTATCACCCGGACAGACGAACGAACAAACAAATTGATGGCTTTCCTTTATCCCCCACGAACAAGATAAAAATACCTTCTATATGAATGTTAAAAGTTGAAGAGATCTCTTATTTATTGCAAAGGAGCCCATAGATTATCGCAAACAATATCAGACAATCCTAACTTGAATTATGAATATTTCCTGATCATCGACATTTGTATCTTTTAGACCCATTCATTATCTTCAAGAAAAGTATATAAAATGATAATTTAAGTAAGCAGACTAAGTGATATTAAAGGTGTAATGGACCAATCAACATACTTTTTCAAAAATGTTGACCTAAATTTTCACCATAAATGCAATCTTTTATTATATTGTTGAATGCATAATTAGACTGTGCTTTGAGATATGTTCTATTTCCTAAAAGGAAAAGGGGTTTACGAAAAACACCGACCGCCGACCACAAAAATCATTTCATAATCATTAGCTAATAATTATTGAATCCTTCAGGATTTAATCAGAAAACCCGAAGAATTTAAAAGCAACGTCTGATTAGTTTCTGAATAATTCACTGAATTGTTTCTGAATGATTAATAATCTGAATAGTTACTGAATAATTAAAGATTTGTTTCTGAATGATTAACTTGGAATTTTTTATTCCGAATTGTTACTGAGTGATTAACGATTTGTTTCTGAATGATTACCTAAAAGTCCATGATTTAGAATGAGAAACCCCACATTGGCAGACATTAAAATTTGGTTAAGATGTGAGAGAATTACTTGTCTAATAAAAGTGAGCATAAACAACCTGAAGGGTAGCTAGACTATCTTGAAACTTGATCAACATAATCATAAAGGTATGTAGAACATGTTTAGATTGAAACTTATTCATATTTATCTCTACTATTCTAATGAATTTGAATTCAAGATATTTTTTTTGAATTTGATCAATTTTGGGTTGTTCCCCATACATGATTAGGCACAAACACTCATTTTAGCCCTAGGTTTCTGAGCAGATAAATGATTATCTGAATGATTATCTCATTTGCATGTCAAATTGCTATACTATTTGTTACCTATTTGTTTTATAATCATTAGCTAATGATTACCCTGAATATGTATGCTATTATTTTGACCTGGGCACCGACCAGTCACTCTCCACAGTTGGGTACATGTGGTCGGTGGTCGGTGGTCGGCTGACAGTCTTTTACATAAAGATGAAAAATTGCAAAATTAGAAGTAAAACTAAAACTGGGAATCCAATGACTATAGTACCTTTACTAGGTCGTGATTTAAAAACGTATAATTAATCATTTCAAATCACGATGAAAACGTAACATCGTCGTGGTGTGTAATGTCATATTTTTAAGTGATGTTTCAGTTGTTAGAAGACCAATTTCATCCTGGTTAGTCACTTTGGAAAAAAACGCACGTAACATTGCATTAAGTTCATTCATATGAAACGCAATAACAAAAACACACAAACATCGTCGATGTTGACGTCGTAACATTATGTTTGATTTCTCAGTTGTTAAACGTCAACTGGTAAAAACTACATTTGATATGACAAAAAAAGCTTTCTAATGGTGTACTGAAATGGTAAGTCACTTTTAATCCTGATAAGAGAACACATGTAACATTATATCGTGTTCAGTATACAGTAGGCTATGACGATAACAAATCATTGTTTCGAAATTGTTAAATTTCCATAAAAAATTAGGATAGATTCCCGTAGAAACGATAGGTTGGTTAATGATAGGTTAGGACCTAAGGCAGGACAATTAATCGAGAGGAGACGGTCATACCCAATTTGTTTGCTTGCCATTCGTTGCAAGGTTCAAAATCGGTAAAAAACATTGCCTAGTCCAACGATTGACATTCAAAATCAAATTATTAATATTTTAAGGCTACAAATATGTTCGGTCTTTTACATGATATGGTCAGTCTTTTACACATTTTCTTCAAACCCTGTTTTGAGGCTACCAGTGGAAAACACTGACCGGTCGGTGGTCGGTGGGGTCGGTCTTTTTCGTAAACCCAAGGAAAAGTGGATTCCTCCAGATACTAAATTTGGATGACCAAAATAAACTGAAATAAATTAATAGCAAGCATTTTTCAATGGGGAAAAAACATGGGGAACACTAATCTTAGAGGAATTCATTTTTCTTTGAAGAACTATTTGATACATTAAAATAAAGAATACAAGAACACAAATGTGTACAAAATGTCCCAACCTATGGGTGATCCCATCAAATGGTTATCCTAATGAAGGACCCACGGTCCTGTGCTCACACAGTTTGGAACCTTCAGAGGAATTTATATCCTGACTTCAAACAAAAATATTGATTTGGATTTGTAGTCTCGAACTTTGAGAAACTTAGATAGCATAGTTGTGTGACCTAGTTTGATGACCTTTGACCTTGAAAATTTTACTTATTCAGAGCTCAGTAAGGTATTTTGTGATTAAGCTGACCAAAATTTACATCCAAAACTCAATTTAAAAAATCAACTTTTTGACCTTTCGGAGGTCACTGAAGGTCAAGTTAAGGTGAAATCCTAAAACTAATGTCAGATTTGAACTCCTGGCAACTTACAGATGATTTTCAAAAAAATTTGGTCAAATTGAAGCAAGTTGAAAAATAACTTATTTTTACTGTTTTTTGACGTCAAATATCTCAACAAGAACACAAATGTGTACAATATGTCCCCACCTATGGGTGATCCTGTCAAATGGTTATCCTAAAAATGAGTAGACAAGACTTTACCAACACAATTTGAGGACGGAGATTCCAAAATGGCCACCTTAAAATTTACCAAGAATGCCAAAAAATTAGTCAGTTCTAGATTTTCATACTAAGAACCACCCCTGAAAATTTGAAATTGATCCGTCACACAGTTAACCAGAAAACATGTACTAAGAACCTCCCCTGAAAATTTGAAATTGATCCGTCATACAGTTAACCAGAAAACATGTAAACAAGACTTTACAGACAAGATTTGAGGACAGAAAATCCAAAATGGCTGCCTTGACATTTATCCAGAATGCCAAAAACTAATCTGTTCTAGATTTTCATACTAAGAATCATCCCTGAAAATTTGAAATTGATCTACCAAACAGTTCACCTGGAAATGTGTAGACAAGACTTTACAGACGAGATTTTAGGACAGAAAATCCAAAACGGCTGCCTTGACATTTACCCAGAATGCCCAAAAACTAATCAGTTCTAGATTTTCATACTAAGAATCATCCCTGAAATTTTGAAATTGATCTACCAAACGGTTCACCTAAAAACGCATAGACAAGACTTTACGGGCAAGATTTAAGACGGAAAATCCAAAATGGCTACCTTGACATTTATCCAGAATGCCGTAAAAATAATCAGATCTAGATTTTCATACTGAGAATCATCCCTGAAAATTTGAAATTGATCTACCAAACGGTTCACCTGAAAATGCGTAGACAAGACTTTACAGACAAGGTTTTAGGACGGAAAATCCAAAATGGCTGCCTTGACATTTACCCAGAATGCCCAAAAACTAATCAGATCTAGATTCTCATACTAAGAATCATCCCTGAAAATTTGAAATTGATCTACCAAACGGTTCACCTGAAAACGCGTAGACAAGATTTTAGGACGGAAAAATCCAAAATGGCCGACAATAAAAAAGTGATTATGAGTTTTTGCTGAAATGTTTTTACAAAATTATCACATATAACTACTGTTAACAATAACATAAGCTTTTACAACAAAGTACACCTGAAATTATATATAAAGCTACTAAAAAGTTAAAGTATGAAAACTGAAAAACACCATTCAATATGATACAAAGTATTATCGTGCGCTAACTTTTCTTAAAACATTCAAAATGGCTGACATGACTGAGCTAACAGGTCCAAAACCTAATCAGATCTAGAATGAAGTGAGCTGAACAAGATGTTAACGTTTTAAAAGCAACTGTGAAGCCGTTTTTCTTAAAGTTTGCAGACAAGGATTTTAGCATTTGACTTCAAAATGGCCGACAGGAAGTAGGTATCGAGTAAATTTTTTTTAATCCACATCTGTATGCACTCATAAGTTATCCCTGAAAATTTGAAGGTGATATCTGTAGCGGTTTTGGAGAAAACTGCCGGACGTACGGACGGACAGACAGACGGACAGACAGACAGACGGACAGACGGACAGACGGACGCGCCTAGGCCGACAATATGGCCCCACACTATGTGGTGGGGACATAATAAAAACGGTAAAAATTTGATGCTGACATATATTCAGAAATATGTAGGGAATGCTTAAACCTATTAATGATATAATTTATTGCAGGAAATGATCAAGTATAAGGCAAACTTTAAGAATCTTGTCAATCACAAAACCTGCCATTGACTTTATACATGAGAAAGTT